CGCCTTCCCCCACACCTGCCGAGGCGGCCTCCTCCGCGACGCCCGCTGTCAGCAGCGCCGCGCCTGCTCCCGCCACCTCGGGAGGAAGCCCGGCGCCCACCACCATCACCATCCCGGGGAGCACCGAGCCGGTGACCAGTCCTGGTGACGCCGGCGTGACCGCCACCACTCGTCCAGCCGAGACCAGCGGGCCCTGGGCTACTTCCTCGGGTGTCAGCTCAGCCCCCGCCTCCGGCCCGGGCACCTCCGAGTCTCTGTCTTCTACTGCTCATTTAAGTAGTGTATCCTCTAGTGTCACCTTTAGCACAACTCTTTTTTCCTCAATGTCTGTGAGTCCTCCTGGCGTGAACAGCAGTATCAGTGTGAGTCCTTCTCGTCCTCTCGGCACGCCTACTCCGCAGCCCATCTACTCTGCCAGTGCCTCCACTATTGTCACCTCGGCCATCACTTCTTCTTCCCCACCCATGGTTTCTACGACCACCCCAGGTAAGAGTTTTCACATTGTGTTGTGTAATACGGATCAGTGCGTTCCATCCCTAACCTTTCCCACTCCTTGTTTTTCTGTATCGTATTAAATCAATGCTGTATTTCTTCCTCCCCTTTTTTTCCAATTGGTATTCACCAAGGGCTTGTACACTAAGTTACATTTCCTCTACTTGTGTGTTTTTATTTTTACTTAGGGCCGCATTTATCCTGTGCCCAGGCTCACCCTGAGCTTGGGTTCTCCCCCTTAAGCCTATCAGAATTCTTGAATTATGGACGTGCTTCTTTTTTTTAAGTTTTTATTACATAACAGCTCTGCAAGTCCTTTCATCCTATTGGTCACATTTCTACTTTTTAAATTTTGTTTTGTTAGCAATTTCATATTATTGATGGAGATCTTTATCTCTGTTGCCCGGGCACAATCAATCCCCAGTTATCTCTCCTCATTCCCGTTTATGTTACTGTTTATCTAGCATGTTGAGTGCTGTAGCCTTTTAACGTCCAGACATTTTATTTGCATGTTCACATTTTTAGTGGGTTTTGCCATTCCTTTAGTTCATACTAAAATGTGAAGGCCTGAATTTGTAGATTTTTTCAGGGGCAGGGGATTGATGTTTTTATTTATTTTTTTTTTAACTCAGGTCCTGCACAATTAGGTAGATTACAGTTTTTTGGTTTTTGGTTTTTTTTCCTTTTTATTTTGAGGCAGGACCTTGCTAAACCACTTGGTTACTTAGGTTGCATACAACCCAGTAATTATCCTGCCTCAGACCCTCGGGGGTGCTCGGATTCCAGGTGTGCCCCACTGTGCTCAGCCTGGTTTTGCAATGTTAGTCACAAGTGTCTTGGAAGTGTCTTCGCCACCATTCACTTTTGTTTGATTTCTTCTTATCCCTTGCGTCCTCACCCTCAAAGCAAATAACATTTTCTTCTCTTTTCTCAGCTCTCAGTCCCCCCTTCTTCCCTCTGAGGGTTTCTCTGTTCTTATTTCTCCTACTTTTTCTCTGCTATACAGCTGTTCCTTGACTTTTTTTTTTGGTGCCAGGAATCAAACTCAGGACCTCATGCTAGCCAGGCAGGCATTGTGCCACTGAGCTATATCCCTGGCATCCCTCGACTCTTTTTATGCTGGCTAGTGTGAAATTGGCAGATCTTGATGTGTATCAGCATTGTTGTGTAGTCTGAGTGTGTACTCACTTATAGTCTCTAGTTTCTCCCCAGTGTGTCTTTGTCTTGTTGAGCTCTCTGGTCAGACAAGGGGCCTGAGCATCCTCAGGAGGTTTGGGCCTTGTGTTCCTGGAAAGCCATGCAGGTGTTGTCTTAGTCTGTTTTGTGTTGCCATAACAGAACTCCTAAGGCTGGGTAATGGATATGGAAGGAGGTCCCTTGGCTCTTGTTTCTAGTGGCTAAGAGGTCTGAATATCGTAGTGCTTGTATTAGTTACTCTCCTGTCCCTAACCAAAGTATATATATACCAGACACCCGCAATTTAAAGGAGGAGAAATTTACTTGGCTTATGGTTTTAGTGGGTTCAGTCCAGGGTTAGCTGGCTCCAAGACAGAAATGGCATGGTGGAAGGGCCTGGTGGAGCAAAGCTGCTCACATCATGGCAGTCAGGAAGCAAAGGGAGAAGTGAGGAACCAGGAGCAAGAATATAGTCTTCCAAGTCATACCCCAGTGAAGAGGAACCTCAGTCAGGCTCCGCCTCTAACAGCACATTCAGCAGTAAATTCATGAATGATTACTTCACTGATGAGTATAGTATCCCATGATCCAACTACCTTCCCCACCTCTGAACACATTAGGCTTTTAAGGGACATTGATCTAAACTGCAGCAATGCTGGCATATGGCAATGGCAATCTGGCTGCATTACAACATGGGAGATGAGTGAAAAGGAAAGTGTGCTCATGCAGAAGGGTCATGTGTGCCAGTTAGGAAGGAAGACGATGGTGGGGGAGGTGCCAGGGTCATTCTTTCATAACAACCCTTTAGAAGGAACGAATCGACTCCTGTAAGGCCTCACCCTTTCCGTGAGACCAGCATTACTCAGTGAAAGAGGCATTCTCATGACTTAGTGACCTTCCTCAGCTCCATCTCCTGAAGGTTGCACCACCTCAATACCATCACACTGAGGTCAAGCTTCCCCTAGGAACCTCTGGAGGACAGACCACATTCAAACTGCAGCAGGTGACTCAAAAATACCAGATGGCTGCACCACTGCTGGGTCCACAATTGGCCTTGGTCACCCCTCTGAGGGCAGATGGTTACCACTTCCTGTCCCCCAGAGGTTGTCTTCCCTTTAGGCTGTTGGGCAAAAGGTCAGCGCTTCCCAGCAGCTGGTTTTGTATTTGTAGCTTCTTTTTTTATTATATGGATAGCTGTAACTTCTTTTCAGCTGCGCTTGGGCACTTAGATCAGGCTGAGGCATCCTCAGTGATACCAGAGGGAGAGAGAGGGACAAAAGGGTAGAGAACGAGCTGATTTAGGATTTATGGGTCTCCCGTGTGCCTAGGAGCCTTGGCTTATGTTGTCCATGCTTCCCAAATGTCTTGGACAAAAGACCTATAAACAACAGCTACGTGGTGTGATTGTCATGGCTGTGTCCCCACTTGCTGAGATCAGCCAGAGGCCAGAGGCCAGAGGCCAGAGGCATGGCATGTCTTTGCAGAGGGAACTCCCATATGGTGTATCTCTCCAGAACAGAACACACCTGGATTCTGAGCTACACAGGCACAGCGACTTTCAAGAGGAGCCAAAAAGAACAGAGCTTTGGATTTTCTCAGCTGACCAGCATGGCTAATCAGGAGTTGTCTATAAGCACTCGCTGTCTATTTAAACTCTACACACCTCCCATGCCAGGAGATGAAACAGGAAGCCTGACCAGCTCTCATAGCAACAATACAGGCTCTTCCGAAGTGGGCACTGAGGGACAGTGCTCAACCTCCGTGCAGTCTCAGCCGGTCACTTCCTCTGGGCTCTCTCAGTCTCTGCCTCCTGTTTCCTCCTTCTCAGTCCTGCTGGTGGCATTTACCTGGCACAGCACCACCGTTCTCTTTGCTCACATTTTTGTGCTGAAGTAACACGAGCTGGAGTCCAGGACTGGGTCAAGTCTGCCTGGACCTGAACCTGGACCCTGGCCAGGCCTCTTAGCCTCTCTCCGCTTCAGCCCTCCTGCCTGGGCAGTAGGATGACACTCACCGACTTGTGCACCCAGGGTGTCATGAGAATGTCCTTGGGAGCACGTGTCAGGCTGTGATGTGCTGTGCAATCCATGTCTTCCAGTGAGCTGCCTCAATGGAGGGTCATGGACGGGGGAGGCCTGCTACTGCCCTCCCCAATTTACGGGAGATCGGTGCCAGTATGCGGTCGAGGTCTGCAACAATGGAGGCTCCTGGGATGGGCTCAAGTGCCTCTGTCCCGAACTCTTCTATGGGCCAAGGTGTGATGATGTGGTCGACGGCGTGGAGATGGGTGAGTGAGGCCCCACGGCCTTCCAGGGGACAGGACGGGAGGCCCAGGTCTCGGCCTCCACCCAGCGCTGGGCCACTGGGGGTGCAGATTTTCTTGGTAAGGAGCTCAGAGGAGTGTTAGATCAGTGAGTTTTGCTACCCTCTGCCCTTCAGCTGTGCCACAGACAGTCTCTGCCCTCAAGAAACTGACTGTGACAGTGACCAGCCAAGAATACAACAGTAAGCTGCAGGACCCGTCTTCAGAAGAATTCAAGAATTTCAATTCCACATTCGCAGAGCAGGTACATTTGGGAGAGCAAGTCCTCCTCAGGGAGGAGCCTGGAGGCATTAAGAAAGAAGCCAGGTGTGGTGGTGCAAGCCTATAGACCCAGAACTCTGGGAGGCTGAGGCAGGAGGATGACAAATTTGAGTCCCACCTGGACAATTTATCACGAACCTGTCTCCAACATAAATTCAAAAGGGGGGTGGTGTCTGGGGATGCAGCTCAGTGAGAAGGCCTTGGGTTCAGTCCCGTGCACTTACACTCACACAGAAGGCAGCTGAGGGCTGTTCTCTTGGTAGATGTGTGTGAATTTCTGAGTTCCCCAAGTCCTCCAGGCTTACCAGGGAGCTTACTGAGGGGTTCTGGTGGGGGTGGTAGCGAGGTGGCACTGGGCTCTGGGAAGGGACTGTGCCGATGGCAGTGGGCTGGAACAATGGGTGGTGCCCGAGGTGCTTTCTGTGCATGGAGATGCCCAGCAGGCCCTGAGGTGAGACCTCCAGGGTGATGCTGTGGCCCCTTCCTTTCAGATGAAGATAATTTATGACGGAATCCCTGAGTATGAAGGAGTCAACATCACGCAGCTGAGGTGAGTGTCTGGGGCAGCAGGAAGAGGTCTTTGGAGTGCAAGCGATAGTCGTAAATAAATAGAGGCAGTCTAACGCTGCCGCCTAGGTTAGCCTGGGGGTGCTGCTTTGACAGCTTATGTAACAGAAAGTTACCACTCACAGCCCAGCAGCCTCAAAGCCTGAGATCAAGGTCCCAGCAGGACTGGCTTCCCCTGGGGCTTCTCTCCTTGGCTCAAACTCTTGATCCTTCTGCCTCAGCCTCCCAGAGTGCTGGGATCACAGGCATAAACTGACTCCAGAGTTCCTCTTCATACCAGGACACCGATGGAGTTGGGTTAGTGTCCACCCCGACAGCCTCACTGTATAGGCCCCGTCTCCAAAGACCGTCACATTCTGAGGTTTGAGCTTCAACACGTGGACTGGGCAGGAACCCGCAAGTGGGCCCTAACACCCCTCAGCTATGGCTCCACAGGCATTTCCTACTGAGGGAGCCGCAGGACGTTCTCACAGTGCAGATGGAGACTGAGGCACAGGGCAAGGCAAGGGCTTGCCTGAGGCTCCATTATGGAGCGGTAGAGCCAACGTTCAAGTAGAAACCCTGCTCTTCTGGGGACAGAAGGACAACCTAGGACCCCGGCCGCTGCGGCATGAGTGAGGGACACCCCATCCATCCCCAGAGGGGAAGCCAGACGACGCAGCCTGAAGAAGGGGACCGCCACCCCCTCCCTGTTGGGATTCTGTCTCCACCCCAGCTTCATGAGGTCCTTTGGGCAGTGCTGGCCAATGAGGCTGGTGTGGTCCCCCAGCTGCCCCTCCATCGTGAGGGAGAGATCCCTTCTCCAGGGCTATCAGACTCACAATTACTAATTTTGGTGAGGAACTTATAGCTGAGAGCAAACAGAAGAAAAGGTACAAAAACCAAAGCGAGCTGACCCCCAGAATCCCCGCACCCTTCCATCCAGCCCCTAAGGATGAAGGATGGTGCTGCCGACCCTTCCAGGCTGCATGCCCTGCAGGAGGCCAGGCTGCTCTTCTGAGAACAACACTTCCTCTCCTCTCCAGCACGGGTCTCTCCTGACCCCGGAAGGCCTCCCTTGTGTCCCCAGGAGAGGGTGCTAATAGGGCGGGTCCTAGTCCTTATTCTCTCTGTCCCTCTGTCTCTCAGGAAAGGGAAGGAATGGGCTCTCTAGGGACAGAGCCTGTGGCTTTACTGATGTTCCTGGTCTCAGCCGGCTGCTTGGGGGTTCCTGGGCTGGTGTGCTCTCAGACCTGTGAACCAGCTCCTCTCAGATCCCCACTCGAGCCCCACATGAACCCTGTGGCTATCGGCTTTGGATAGCGGGCATGGGTGTCTACCCCACACCCTCAGGCCAGACACAGGAGGAGCTGGGCTCTGAGGGCTCCCCCCTTCGCTGTGTGTGGTGGTGCATGCCTGTGATCTCAGCACTCTGGGAGGCTGAGGTAGGAGGATCACAAGTTTGAGCCTAACCTGGGCAATTTAACGACTTAGCAAGACCATGTCTCTAAATAAAAAATAAAAGGGGGCTGGGGATGTAGCTCAGTGAAAAGGCCCTGGATTCAATCCCCAAGACTGCATTAAAAAAAGAAGGAAAGTGGTTCTCTGCCCAGTGGGTGGCTCCAGGGAGATCTGGGAGTCTGAACGGAAGTGAGAATCAGCCACTTCCACAGGGTGGGGAAGAGCTCAGGAAGCCTGGGGTCCAACTCCTCATCTTACGGACAAGGAAGCTGAGGCCCAGGCAGCTCAGTGACTATGCTGAGGTCACACTGTCCTTAGGGTAAAAGGCAGCCTTGAGCTGAAGAGCTCCTCACCCTTCCCACTCTGATGCTGGCTTACGCGTTATTCCAACTCCGCGATCCCAGGGTTTATATTGTATGTACTCTCAGTCCTCCATATCCGTGGCTCCGCACCTGTGGGTTCAACAAATTACAGGTTGAAAATGTTCAGAGTTGGGTGGGGAGTGTGTCTGAACTGGACACATACAGACTTTTCCCTTGTCGTTATCCCTACAGTATCGTGTAACAGCTATGCACATAGCATCTGCACTGCATTAGGTATCATAAGAAACGCAGAGATTATTTATAGTGTGTAGGTGAAAGCCAGGTGTCATGGTACATACCTGTAGTCCCATGACTTAGGAGGCTGAGACAGGAGGATTCCTTGGGCCTAGGAGTTTGAAGCCAGCCCGGGCAACATAGGCTTCATTTTGATAGTTAGGTAAATAAATACATAGATAGATGGATGATAGATGATAGACAGGTAGGTAGGTAGGTAGGTAGATAGATAGATAGAGTATAGCAGCCCCATGATCCAGTGACTTTCCAGAAGCCCCTCATCTGAACACCTGAGTCTTCTGAGGGACATTCTAGATCTAAACCATAGCACAAGCCTGTGGGAGCCCCTGAGGTGGACCTCCTATGCTGTGGCCTCTTACCGTCTCATCCTTGAGCTCCCAGGGCACAGAGGGGCAGAGCCCACCCGAAGAGGGGGTGGGAAGAGCGAGCCCCCGGGCTGACAGGGACGAGGCCCAACCGTGCTATGTCACCCCCACCCCTACTCCAGGCCCGGCAGCGTGGTGGTGGAGCACGATGTCATTCTGAAGACCAATTACACTCCAGAGTACAAGCAGGTGCTGGAAAAGGCCTCTGAGCAGGTGGAAAAGAAAATCCTGAATGCAACTGCAGAACAGATAAGCAACAGTAATAACACCTGCGTAGGTGAGCGCCATGCTCCCTGGGGTTTTGTCTTTGTCACCCTGGGGCAAGGGGGGACGGGAAAGCAGGGCGGGCTGCAGGAGCTGAGGCCCACCAGCTGGCGGGTACAGCTTGCTGCTCAGGCAGATCCCAGAGAGCCCAGGAAGGAGGCTGCAAAGCCAGGGAGGCAGCAGGACAGACACGGCAGGACGGGGCTCTGCTGGAAACGCTAGCACACTTGTGGCTCCGTGAAGCTTGTGAATGTAGTGAGTGGTGTGTGGATTGAGACAGGAGAGGGTGGGGAGTGCTGGGAGGAGGCGGCTTCCTGGCCCCTTACAGACCCGCTCCCCTCTGCCCCACACACCTCGGCCCCCGAGGATTCGAGATCACTTGTCGCATGAGCTTCCCGTGTCTCTTTCACAGACTTCTTACTGTGTTTCAACTCAACTGCCACACTGGTGCAAAATGCCACTGTTTTCCAGTATGATCCCGAAGGTAGGTGCCACTTGTGCTTTTGGGAAGGGCTGGGGCAGTGGGACCCCTGGAGGAGCCCCATCGACTCCCAGCTCCTGACCACGTGACTCCTCATCCTCACAGAGGAGTGCCGGAAAGAGGCTGGGACCTACGCTGCCTACTTCACGGTGGAGTACAAGGACCAGAAGCCGTACTGCATCACGCCCTGCATGCCCGGCTTCAACGCCTCCCTGGACTGCCACTACGGCAAGTGCCAGATGCAGCGCAGTGGCCCCCACTGCAAGTGAGTGTCCCACCCTGGCCCCTGTGAGTCCCCCAACGCCCAGGCTCAGTCAGACGCTGCTTGCAGGCCAAGGTTACAGGTTCCTGAGACTCCTGAATGTGTCCAGCCCAGAGGGAACCACACTGGGGTCAGAGGGACCCACACCACCAAGGCCCCAAGGCCAGGTCTGGAAGAGCCCACGGGTGGCCCAACGGGTGTTCGAACAGGTGTCCTCCTGAGGACAGTGGCAGGATCTGCCAGAGCAAAGGCAGACCCCAACCTCAGGAAGCTCCCAGGCCACCAGGGAGGGAGGGCCTCATCCCCAGAGTTGGAACCCTGTTCCCTGCCGCAAAGTAGCCAAGGCGGCCCCACGACTACGGGGAATGGGAACCCACCAAGCCCAACCTCCGAGGGAAGACAGAAGGCTTTCCAGCTGAAACCTAATTAAACAGAGACGCCAGCTGCCCAGCACCAGGGCCGCAAACAGGAGCCACGTGGGCAGAGGCCTGAGTCATTCTGGGATTGTTTCCCGCAGCAGGGGCCCCGTGCTAGTCCAGGGAGGAGAGGCACAGGGCTGAGGCCCTGTGGGACCAGGCCCGGGTCCAGGCGGGAACTGACTGTCCTCTCCCTTCTCAGCTGCCTGATCACAGCCACTCACTGGTACCAGGGGGAGACCTGTGAGTGGGGCATCCAGAAGAGCCTGGTGTACGGGCTCACGGGCGCGGGGGCGGCTGTGGTGCTCGTGGTCATGGCCGTCCTCCTGGTGTTTGCACTGCGTGCCAGGAGAATGGCAAAAAGGTGAGCACGGCTCCTCCCCTCTCCCTGTCATCAGTCTGTCCAGCTGGGGGTGGGTGGCAGGGAGCAGAAAGCAGGGATGTCGCTTGTCCCCCAGTCCTTGTCCCTGGTCCCTGCTCCTAACAGGGTCCCTGGTGTTTCTGTCAATAGGCAAAAGTACAGAGTGTCTCAGTTGTACAAGTGGTATGAAGAGGGTGGTGGACCCACGCCTGGGACCTTCCATAACACTGGCTTTGACCTCTCTGAAGGTATTGGCAACCCCCACCGGACTGAGAGTGGCTCAGAGTATGGGGACCCACAGAAGAGGCACATGGGAGGATGCCAAGGCTTGATGGTGGGGAGAGAATTGTTATTTTCCATCTTTAAAACATCTGGTGCCAACTGGGGAGCATGGTGATGCACGCCTATAATCCCAGCACTCTGGGAGGCTGAGGCAGGAAGGTCGCAAGCACAAGCCTGGGTAACTTAGAGACTTAGTAAGATACTGTAGCAAAATAAAAAATAGAACAGGCTGGGGATATAGCTCACCTCCTGCTATACATCTTGGTTCCTAATAGGCCCATAGTGTTCTGTGGCCCAGGGATTGGGGACCCCTTGTTGAGGCAGTCCGCCACATTTTCAGTGATTTTCAGTTTCACTGGGTGGGATTGGAGGGAGAGAGGATCATTCACCTTCCCTAACCATCTGTCTTGGCGGGGCTCCCTCCTCTAGAGTATGCGCAGGTGGACTCTATCTACGGCACCCTCCAGCCCTCCCTGGACAGCGTGAACTCAAATGCAGAGGTCAGAATGGCCGGAAGAATGGCTTCCCCTGCCCTGAGCCCACAGCCCCCTTCCCATGGAGTAGGGCCTTCAGGAAAGCAAAGCCACACTGATGATTTGTTTGGTCTGGGCCATGGTCCCTGGACCCTACTGCTAGGGAATTAGCATAACTTGGGAGGGAGTGTGAGCAAGGTGGAATCTACCTTCCATAGACCCCTGAGGCTGCAGGCCCTGAGGTTTCTTTCCACACTTTAAATATGTCCTTGATGGTTGGTTGGTTGATTGATTTTAATTTTGAACTACACATCGGAGTAAAAATAATACTATAGTAAATACACACCTCCTCCAGATAGTGATGTTTAAGATGCATGTTTTCTTTCTTTACATCTGTCTGCTCGATTTTTGCTGAACCATTTGGAAGTCAGCTGCAAATACTGTGACAGTCGCTCCCTGAGCCGTTCTGCATATATCCCCATCCTTCCATACAGTGAACGGTCAATAATTCCATAACATCATCCAGTATCCAACTTTTATAACTGACCTAAGAAATCCCACCCCCAGTACGTGGCTTGACTCAAGGCCCTTTGCACTGAGCTACAGCTTCGGCCCTTTTTTATATTGAGACAGGGTCTCACTAACTCACTGAGTTGCCTGGACTGGGTTCAAACCTGTGATCCTCCTGCCTCAGCCTCTCAGAGTGCTGAGATCACAGGAATGCATCACATACTCAGCCTAAAGAATCTTGTATTTTCTCCATATGTGGATACAACAAATTTCACTCACTGACTTTTCTTATTTTTTATTTATTTTTGATCTTTCCACCTTGAACCAACTCCTGCATTAAAAAATATACTGTATTTTTGGCTAGGTGTGGTGGTTGTGATCCCAATACTGGGAAGACTGAAGCAGGGTCATCACAAGTTCAAGACCAGCTTCAACTGCATAGTGAGACCCTGTTTCCAAAAACAAAAAAATAATTTTTTTTTTGTCCTTTTGAGACAGGGTTTCATTATGCAGTTCAGGCTAGCCTTGAACTCACTTTTGAACCCAGGCTGATGTTGAACTCACAGCGATCCTCCTGCCTCAGCATCCCCAGTGCTGAGATTACAGGGGTGCATCACCACACCCAGCCTGCTATTTTTTAAAGTGTCTAGGATGGAACTGAAGGGTGTCCGGTACTCCAAGTTTGAATATTTCTTTGTGATGTCATTTGGGAAAATGCACAGAAGGATTTAGAGAGTGACTGTCATAATATTTACAGTTGACTTCCAAATGATTCAGAAAAAATGGAATAGACAGATCTGAAGAAAAATTTGCATCTTAAACATCACTATCTGGAGGAGGTGTAGAAGTATTTACTGAAGTATTATTTTTGCTTAGATAGGTAGTTCAAATGAAAATCAATCAACCAACCAACCATGAAGGCATGATTAGACTCAGGTTAAACACTTCTGATATGTTGTAGGTAATGCTATTCCGCCCCTTAAGAGATACCTAACATCACATGATGACTAAGGCCGAGACTGGTCCCTGGGGTAAAGGGTGACCAACCTTGATGACCACAATAATATTTCCACTGGGTGGAAATCTGAGGACAAAATACCAAGTGTGCTTGGTTCCGGACACTGTACTCTAGACCGAGCGCCTTAGGGCAGACCTGAAACCCCAGGCCAGGATGCCAGAGCCACCCAACGGGGAAAGAAGTCACACCTCCTGGTGCCAGACCCCGAGTTCTAGAACAAGTTCTAAGCAGAGCACTTGTCCGGGCCCAAGCCTCTCAAACCACCCAAGCCCAGATCGCCCACGGGCCCAGCCCTCTACTGGTCCTCTCTCTCTTTTCAGATCCATATTCAGAGGCCCCAGGTGATAATGACAGCGATGTAAGGCAAAGGCGCTTTTGCGGGGAGCTGGGGAGGCTGGGAGTGACAAGACCGGCCCTGGCCACGCTTGCTGGAGCGTTTCCCCGCTGCGAGCATTCCGCAGGAATCGGATGAGAAGCAACCCCTGTACCGAGCGAGGAAGAAGAGGATAAAGCGACACCGTGGAAGCTCGCGTAGGTCTCCATGTCTCAGGCGAGGCCTTTTTGCCGGCGCCAGAGGTTCCTGCTCCGGGCATCCGCGTTCAGGACCAAGGACAGCGCCGAGTGCCTCGGGTGCCGGAGAACGGTTGGCACGCCGCTCCTAAGAAGCATCTATTTAAAAACACGCAGCATGGGGGCTGGGGATTTAGCTCAGCGGCAAAAGCGCCTGCCTGGCAAGCGCAAGGTCGTGAGTTCGGTTCCCGGTACCGGAGAAAAACCAAAA